GTAGGGGGTGTGTGGACCAGGTGTTTACAGTGAAACATATAAGTCAACAGTATTTAGATAAGGCTAAAGAGGTCTTTGTGGCATTTATGGATTTGGAAAAGGCGTATGACAGGGTGGATAGGGGGGCAATGTGGCAGATGTTGCAGGTGTATGGTGTAGGAGGTAGGTTACTGAAAGCAGTGAAGAGTTTTTACGAGGATAGTGAGGCTCAAGTTAGAGTATGTAGGAAAGAGGGAAATTATTTCCCAGTAAAAGTAGGTCTTAGATGTGTGATGTCACCGTGGTTGTTTAATATATTTATAGATGGAGTTGTAAGAGAATTAAATGCGAGGGTCTTGGCAAGAGGCGTGGAGTTAAAAGATAAAGAATCGCACATAAAGTGGGAGTTGTCACAGTTGCTCTTTGCTGATGACACTGTGCTCTTGGGAGATTCTGAAGAGAAGTTGCAGAGATTGGTGGATGAATTTGGTAGGGTGTGCAAAAGAAGAAAATTGAAAGTGAATACAGGAAAGAGTAAGATTATGAGGATAACAAAAAGATTAGGTGATGAAAAATTGGATATCAGATTGGAGGGAGAGAGTATGGAGGAGGTGAATGTATTCAGATATTTGGGAGTGGACGTGTCAGCGGATGGGTCTATGAAAGATGAGGTGAATCATAGAATTGATGAGGGGAAAAGGGTGAGGGGTGCACTTAGGAGTCTGTGGAGACAAAGAACTTTGTCCTTGGAGGCAAAGAGGGGAATGTATGAGAGTATAGTTTTACCAACGCTCTTATATGGGTGTGAAGCATGAGTGATGAATGTTGCAGCGAGGAGAAGGCTGGAGGCAGTGGAGATGTCATGTCTGAGAGCAATGTGTGGTGTGAATATAATGCAGAGAATTCGTAGTTTGGAAGTTAGGAGGAGGTGCAGGATTACCAAAACTGTTGTCCAGAGGGCTGAGGAAGGGTTGTTGAGGTGGTTCGGACATGTGGAGAGAATGGAGCGAAACAGAATAACTTCAAGAGTGTATCAGTCTGTAGTGGAAGGAAGGCGGGGTAGGGGTCGGCCTAGGAAAGGTTGGAGGGAGGGGGTAAAGGAGGTTTTGTGTGCGAGGGGCTTGGACTTCCAGCAGGCATGCGTGAGCGTGTTTGATAGGAGTGAATGGAGACAAATGGTTTTTAATACTTGACGTGCTGTTGGAGTGTGAGCAAAGTAACATTTATGAAGGGGTTCAGGAAACCGGCAGGCCGGACTTGAGTCCTGGAGATGGGAAGTACAGTGCCTGCACTCTGAAGGAGGGGTGTTAATGTTGCAGTTTAAAAACTGTAGTGTAAAGCACCCTTCTGGCAAGACAGTGATGGAGTGAATGATGGTGAAAGTTTTTCTTTTTCGGGCCACCCTGCCTTGGTGGGAATCGGCCAGTGTGATAATAATATATAATATATATATATATATATATATATATATATATATATATATATATATATATATGTATAATATATACGATTATATATATATTGTCGTGCCGAATAGGCAGAACTTGCCATCTTGGCTTAAATAGCAACGCTCATCTTGCCATATAGGACAAGTAAAAATTTGTGTATGCTATAATTTCGCCAAAATCATTCTGAACCTAACGAAAAAAATATATTTCACTGTGTTTGTTTAGTATTAAATTACTGTAAACAAATCTAAAATATATTTAGTTGGGTTAAGCTAAAATAAATTGCTCTTGTTATAATAAGGTTAGGTAAGTTTTCTAAGATTCTTTTGGTGCAAAATTAAAATTTTTTTACATTAACATTAATGAAAAATATATATCTTTAAACGTATAAGAGAAAATTTTAGAAAGGACTTAATTTTAAATGAGTTCTTGCTAATTGACCAGTTTTACATATTCGGCACGACATATATATATATTATATATATATATATATATATATAATATATATATATATATATATATATATATATAATATATATATATATATATATAAACATCTGATACCTGTGTGTGTGTGTGTGTGTGTGTGTGTGTGTGTGTGTGTATATATTCAAAGAAAACTAACTGTAACGAGTATATTTCTCAGTTTGCATACAGTGAGACTTTACTTTAGTCTCTCATGCAGGGATTAATGTTTCCACACGAGACACAGTGTGACGGAGGGAGCCGGGCACTCTTTACCTGTCTAGGTGGCGTCGACGGCGGCGGCGGCGGTGGCGGCGGCGGTGGCGGCGGCGGCGGCGGCGGCGGCAACAGCAGCAGCAGCAGCAGCAGCAGCAGCAGCAGCAGCTGAGCCAAGTATAGCCGAATCACCAGCGTGATTCAGGTCCCCCGCATACTAACATACCGAGGAAGATCTCGATGGCAGGGGAGTCCCTCGGCCTACCATCACACGGCAGAAGGCAGGAGGGCCCCTATCGCAAACCAAATGGCAGGGGTGGTCATGCGCCTTCTATCACGTGGCAGAAGGCAGAGGATCCCATATCACACTGCAGATGCAAGGGGGTTCCCTATGACTGCTATTATACGACAGATGGCAGGGAAGGGTCCGTCCTTCAGCCTGCTTTCACGCAGCAAGTGCCGAGAAGGGGTCTCTTGGGGTATGGGGGGGAAGCTGTTTCTGTCCCCTGTACAGCTTCGGAGGAAGCTTATATTTCAGTCTCCTCTCCGCTTCGTATATTCGCATCTTTACACTGTTTATCCACTAGCTTCCATTGCTAGCTGTATTATCACTTTACTGTAAATGAATTTGTAATGTGCTTCCTGAGATCACCAACTCCAGCACCAATATACCAGTGGTCGCTGCTGCTTTGGATCGACACGATGGCTCTATGGCCTTTGCACTGGTATCCGTAGATAACACCGGCCTCTCATATTTCACTTTACAACATGACCCCAGATTAGATTTTAGATTTAGCCACCGAAGCGGCTAGTTTACAGTGCACTACATATTAATCTTGTGGACGTTAGCGGCTGGTTTATTGTGTACCCCACATCTATCGTATAAACCGTAGTAGCTAGTTTATTGTGTATCCCCATATCACTGGTGTAGATGGCAAGTGCTAGTTAAGTTTGTGCACTCCCTATCTATTCCATGTACAGTTCACGAGAACATACAGAAACACAAAAGTCCAATGACCCTATGACTTAACTGTTAATGCTAACTCCTTAGTAAGGCTTTTCCACGCCCCGGCATTAGGCCAAAGGCACCACTGAGCAGGAAGTTGCAGCTTTAAAACCCTCCTCAGGTGTTTTTCTCCCCTAACACATACACCAACACAAAGTTTATTAGCTTAACAGATTAACATGCGTTTTTCAGCATATACTACAGAGAAAATCAATTATGGGATGATTCATTCTAGTTAACAGTGTGTGAGTTTATGAAGTACTGGATGAACTCTCCCTCGTCCCCACAGAAGCACATCGGTCTCATGGTAGTTTGGAAGTGACTGTGGAAACTAACGCCATTTACAGGCAATAAATTTTAAAACAAGTCGTATGAGGTTAAAAGGTGTCACTAGGAGCCAAGGCTCAACACCGACCAACACACACACTAATTAGCACACGCCCTTGCAAGTGACATTCCTCTGATACTCTATACCCTTGATTAATTCTGGTCAACCGAGTCACTTTGGTTTTTACATTTAAATGAAAAATACTGACTCGGGGGAAGAGGAAGAAGGAAGGAGGACAAAGAGAGATATTATCAACACAAATAGGACCTTAAGACATTAAAAGAGGATTGAATTTTTCTTCGAGATACCAAATCCTTCGAGCAAACTTTTGTTGAAAATAAGACTCCACTTATCTGTGTGGTTAGGCTTTTCCCTCGCTTATTAACTTATCTTAAAATCAGTCTCTAACTAATTTACAGGAGTTACGAGTTATGATAACATGTAATGCTTATCTATGAAGCATATATCTGATGTTCTCATTTGTTGTTGTAAAGTAATTTTTGTAGTAACATGTACTGTGTACTTTTATGTTGTCGGTCTTAGGCTTCTTTGTTATGGTGTGGAGAAACTAAAACAACGTCTTACGACGTGATAATGTTTTTTTTTGTCTACAGGATCAGCTGGTCAGCTGGAGCAAAGCCATGGTCAAATGACCATTTACATTAGCTCATGATGTTTTTTGTTGCAATGAGCCAAATTTGTCTTAGAGAGCCTCTCCTGCAGTCGTGAAAAATGGCACAAGACCGACAAGTGGACAAGATGTACATATTTTGCAGACTTTATGGAGACGTTTTCCCTATAGAACAGTGTTCTTCTGGCCAGGCAGTGAGGTCACTCCGCCCACTCCGTGACCTCACTTCCCGGCCATTACTTGATTGCGCTTGTTGTCTCCTGTGTATTGGCTAAAGAAGCCTGTTTTACAGGTGGAACGTCGTCATAAAATTCCTTTCTGTAACTCGTGTGACTTTTCCTCTCCTGCAGTTCTGCCACACTCATAAAGTTGCGTTTCAATGAAGGGATAAGCCTCTGCGAGTCATTCAGTGCAAGTAGTGGTGAAAACTCCATTTTCAGTTCGTTAATCGCGGCCGTTGGTGATTGCCCTGTGCACACATCTTGTAAAGATGAATGCAAGCAGTCGTGCTTTCAAGAGAGGGAGAGAAAGCTTGGCACTGGATGGGAGAAGCTGCGTGTCTTACAGCTCAGTTGTTTCATACTTTTAACACGAGTCACAACTAACTCACAGTCTGGGGAGAAAGTTTTAGACACTTCGGTCCTTTCTGGACCATTATCAAGTCGCGATATAATGGTCCAGGTGGGACAGATTGTGGGTTAGTTAATAATCGTGGTAGCCACGGTGCTGTGAAATTTACTCTCGTAACATATTTGTTAGACTTCCTACTGGATGTCGCAATTCACTAAGGAACTACCACAGAACTACGTGCTGCTACAAAGCATCAGCTACGTGCCTCAGTGGCCTCTGTATCTCACCACAGAGTTACGTGCCGCTAATAAGGTATCTACTATACGTCTGGTAGCTACACACACTGGTGGTACGTACAGTGAAGGTGTCCTTGATAATCTTGAACTCCTTAGCGGTGTACTGGGTGTTAGCCATCACCTTGCCGATGATAGCTTCGATGTTGTCCATCCATTCCAGATACTTCGAACACCGGAAGTCATAGACCTCCTTGACGAAGCCGTAGTTCTCCTGCCAGAAGGTCATGCTGGAGGCCCACCTGGAGGTCGAGAGGGAAGTGAGGTGGCCACGTCTGAGGCACTACCCACATCGACCCCTTCACTACCCCCTCGCTTATGACATCCCCTTCTTTGGATGGGCGGGGCGTCCCTCACCCCACCCAATCACCGGCATCTCCTCTACAGGCCGCACACCTGTTTGTTGGCACGGTGCCACAGGTAGGGGCGACACTCCCCCTCCCCCATATTAAACTCCGCAACCACTACCTTACTGCTGCCACTCCTCATTGATCCTCTCTTGCTCCCATCTGTTAAAATATTATACGGGAGGTTAAAATCGTATGGGTTATCACAAAGAGTGTTGGAAACTCGATCCTCCAACCTCTCGCAACCAGACTTCCCTGATGTTCTCTGTGACCTACGCGAGTTTAGCGCATATACTGTAATATTAATAGCACGACCCTTAGCCCTTGCCTTCACTAATATTACTTTCCGGCCACGAGTAGCAAGACTCTCTATAGATATAACTACTTTGCCGTTATAATAATTGGCAACACTATCACTGCTCAAATCAATACGATCATCTCATCTACTAACATCCATCATATATTGCCACTCATCATCACTGATCACCACAACCACCACAACCACCCTTGGCACAGGGCCACCCCTTCTCCATAGCGCGCCACTTTCAACGTCATTCAAGGCGGTCAGTAATGTTAGCCAAGTCACTCAGTCTTCCACACCAGTAACCTCACTCCTCTATCTCACTGACCCGGATATTCTTTTATACACAACCTCGGGTTATAAATATACCTTGCCACTGTAATTACACACTGCTGAAAACACAACCTATCCTTTTACAACGTTAATTTTCTAACGCAGTACCCAAAGTTAATTAGGTCTCTGTGAAGAGAATAAGAAATATGTGCAACACCTGGGTCTTTATTGCCCTAACTTTTCGCTTGTGCAGCAGGGCTCTTCAATCGAATACGTGTGAACACAAAACTGGAGGCAGTAAAGCAAGTGTTGCACATGTGCCTCATTCGTCAGCTTAACTGTATTGTGCACCATCACTAACGTAATTCTTGTTGAACACAGCAACCCTATGATATCCTGGAACAGGGAAAGTCTTCTGCAACTCTTTGGGTATACAAATGTTTAATATGGCCTACTTGTATTAATGGGAAACACTCACATGTGACCTTATCTTCAGCTTCTCACTTTTGCTCCAGCACATGAAGTCTGGACGCTGTCCTCTGCTTTAGGCGGCCGAAAGACTGACCACCTTCTATCAAGGCTTAGGGACTGATCATCTCAAAATTACTTCTATTGTCGTCTTTGTCAAACTTTAAACGCTGGTATAACTTTGAGAAAAAGATTTGAGTTGATTTTGGATCATACAGATGTCAATTAACAATTTTTATAGACGTAATCGGGATATCAGATTTTATTTTGTATATTGTGAATACCTCTTCCTATTGGCTTCAGATCTTCGATGCTGATATTTTACTGCATCAAAACCTATACTAGTAAAAGTTATTTACGTTAATTGACGTATAGGATCATTAACGTATAGGGGGCTGGGTTTAAGGGATACAGTGATGTCTTTCTAGGATCAAGGAGGCTGGGTTTAAGGGATACAGTGATGTCTTTCTAGGATCAAGGAGGCTGGGATTAAGGGATACAGTGATGTCTTTCTAGGATCAAGGAGGCTGGGTTTAAGGATACAGTGATGTCTTTCTAGGATCAAGGAGGCTGGGTTTAAGGGATACAGTGATGTCTTTCTAGGATCAAGGAGGCTGGGTTTAAGGGATACAGTGATGTCTTTCTAGGATCAAGGAGGCTGGGTTTAAGGGATACAGTGATGTCTTTCTAGGATCAAGGAGGCTGGGTTTAAGGGATGCTGGGGATAACTTTCTTTGATCAGATTCGTATATTTTAGCCACAAACGTGAAAATTAGAATAATCAGCCGCGATGCGTCTGGCAATGAGATTTCCGAACTTAACTAGGAAGGGTAAAGATTTGTACGTTTATAAGGCGTCGTGTGAGAAGGGACTGGATAATGAATTTGGGAATGGACTGGATAATGGATTGGATAACGGATTGTAGAATAGATTGACTAGAGGCATGCTATAAATCTGGTTCGGATAGTTTAACTTAGCTATTCTTAATACCATGACACGTGGTAAAGTCAATCAAAACTGTAGAGGTAGGAAAACTGGGATGGAAGGATCGTCTGCTCTGTGGGATGGAAGAGTGGACTCCATCACAGGATGGTGAAGTGGGTTCCATCATGGAAGAGAGGGTTCCATTACGGAAGAGAGGGTTCCATCATGGAAGAGAGGGTTCCATCATGGAAGAGAGGGTTCCATTATGGAAGAGAGGGTTCCATTATGGAAGAGAGGGTTCCATCATGGAAGAGAGGGTTCCATCAAGGAAGAGAGGGTTTCATCATGGAAGAGAGGGTTCCATCATGGAAGAGAGGGTTCCATCATGTAAGAGAGGGTTCCATCATGGAAGAGAGGGTTCCATCATGGAAGAGAGGGTTCCATCATGGAAGAGAGGGTTCCATCATGGAAGAGAGGGTTCCATTATGGAAGAGAGGGTTCCATCATGGAAGAGAGGGTTCCATCATGGAAGAGAGGGTTCCATCATGGAAGAGAGGGTTCCATCATGGAAAAAAGGGTTCCATCATGGAAGAGAGGGTTCCATCATGGAAGAGAGAGTTCCATCATGGAAGAGAGGGTTCCATCATGAAAGAGAGGGTTCCATTATGGAAGAGAGGGTTCCATTATGGAAGAGAGGGTTCTATCATAGAAGAGAGGGTTCCATTATGGAAGAGAGGGTTCTATCATGGAAGAAAGGGTTCCATCATGGAAAAGAGGGTTCCATCATGGAAGAGAGGGTCCCATCATGAAAGAGAAGGTTCCATCATGGAAGAGAGGGTTCCATCATGGAAGAGAGGGTTCCATCATGGAAGAGAGGGTTCCATCATGGAAGAGAGGGTTCCATCATGGAAGAGAGGGTTCCATTATGGAAGAGAGGGTTCCATCATGGAAGAGAGGGCTCCATCATGGAAGAGAGGGTTCCATTATGAAAGAGAGGGTTCCATCATGGAAGAGAGGGTTCCATCATGGAAGAGAGGGTTCCATCATGGAAGAGAGGGTTCCATTATGAAAGAGAGGGTTCCATTAGGAAAGAGAGGGTTCCATCATGGAAGAGAGGGTTCCATTATGAAAGAGAAGGGTTCCAACATGGAAGAGAGGGTTCCATCATGGACGAGAGGGTTTCATTATGAAAGAGAGGGTTCCATTATGAAAGAGAGGGCTCCATCATGGAAGAGAGGGTTCCATTATGAAAGAAAGAGTTCCATCATGGAAGAGAGGGTTCCATCATGAAAGAGAGGGTTCCATCATGAAAGAGAGGGTTCCGTCATGGAAGAGAGGGTTCCATCATGGAAGAGAGGGTTCCATCATGGAAGAGAGGGCTCCATTATGGAAGAGAGGGTTCCATCATAGAAGAGAGGGTTCCATCATGGAAGAGAGGGTTCCATCATGAAAGAGAGGGTTCCATCATGGAAGAGAGGGTTTCATCATGGAAGAGAGGGTTTCATCATGGAAGAGAGGGTTCCATCATAGAAGAGAGGGTTCCATCATAGAAGAGAGGGTTCCATCATAGAAGAGAGGGTTCCATCATAGAAGAGAGGGTTCCATCATGGAAGAGAGGGTTCCATCATGGAAGAGAGGGTTCCATCATAGAAGAGAGGGTTCCATCATGGAAGAGAGGGTTCCATCATAGAAGAGAGGGTTCCATCATGGAAGAGAGGATTCCATCATAGAAGAGAGGGTTCCATCATGGAAGAGAGGGTTCCATCATGGAAGAGAGGGTTCCATCATAGAAAAGAGGGTTCCATCATAGAAGAGAGGGTTCCATCATGGAAGAGAGGGTTTCATCTTAGAAGAGAGGGTTCCATCATGGAAGAGAGGGTTCCATCATAGAAGAGGGGATTCCATCATGGAAGAGAGGGTTCCATCATGGAAGAGAGGGTTCCACCATAGAAGAGAGGGTTCCATCATGGAAGAGAGGGTTCCATCATGGAAGAGAGGGTTCCACCATAGAAGAGAGGGTTCCATCATGGAAGAGAGGGTTCATCATGGAAGAGAGGGTTCCATCATAGAAGAGAGGGTTGCATCATGGAAGTGAGGGTTCCATCATGGAAGAGAGGGTTCCATCATGGAAGAGAGGGTTCCATCATAGAAGAGAGGGTTCCATCATGGAAGAGAGGGTTCCATCATGGAAGAGAGGGTTCCATTATAGAAGAGAGGGTTCCATCATGGAAGAGAGGGTTCCATCATAGAAGAGAGGGTTCCATCAATGAAGAGAGGGTTCCATCATAGAAGAGAGGGTTCCATCATGGAAGAGAGGGTTCCATCATGGAAGAGAGGATTCCATCATGGAAGAGAGGGTTTCATCTTAGAAGAGAGGGTTCCATCATGGAAGAGAGGGTTCCATCATAGAAGAGGAGATTCCATCATGGAAGAGAGGGTTCCATCATGGAAGAGAGGGTTCCACCAAAGAAGAGAGGGTTCCATCATGGAAGAGAGGGTTCCATCATGGAAGAGAGGGTTCCACCATAGAAGAGAGGGTTCCATCATGGAAGAGAGGGTTCCATCATAGAAGAGGGGATTCCATCATGGAAGAGAGGGTTCCACCATAGAAGAGAGGATTCCATCATGGAAGAGAGGGTTCCATCATGGAAAAGAGGGTTCCATCATAGAAGATAGGGTTCCATCATGGAAGAGAGGGTTCCATCATAGAAGAGAGGGTTCCATCATGGAAGAGAGGGTTCCATCATGGAAAAGAGGGTTCCATCATGGAAGAGAGGGTTCCATCATGGAAGAGAGGGTTCCATCATGGAAGAGAGGGTTCCATCATGGAAGAGAGGGTTCCATCATGGAAGAGAGGGTTCCATCATGGAAGAGAGGATTCCATCATGGAAGAGAGGGTTCCATTATGGAAGAGAGGGTTTCCATCATGGAAGAGATGGGTTCCAT